TCTATACTTCCTATAAGCAGTCTTCTTATTAGAAGCTGTCTTATTAAGGAATATTAACTTATCTACCGGCCAATTCTAGCTCTTTGTATACTATATCGCTCTTGCTATCGGATTACGCTCCTTCGCGACTTAACGAGCGACTATACGAGTCCACTCGAGCCGATTAGTAAGCGTACGCTATACGCTCGAAGGGCAAAGTTCTACGCCGAAGTTGTCGTACAATTCTATATATATCTCTTCGAGATAAGCGTCCGGTCGATCGTTAAGGTATTCTAGTAACTACTCGTCTATTTCCTTCGTTATCTTCCTTATACGGCGTTTCTTAACCTTCTTCTTCTTGCCCGGTTTAGGCACCTCCGGCGGGTCCGGATCTAGCATATACACCTCCCTAAATAGCTAGTAATACTTCCGCTATCGATATATCGTCGACGTACTTACTCCTGTCTTCGAGACAATAGTTAGAACGTCGAGATTGTCGTTAAAATACAATACTACGAGTCTAGCGGTCTTAGAGGGCAGGCGACCTAGTATAGTAGCGCAGTAGCCGAGGAAGGCGTAGAACAACTATAACAATACCTTAGATTGCATATTTAACGGCTATACTATCGATATACTTAGTAATTCAATATTAGGACGAGAATACGTAGACAGAGGACGATTTGGCTAATTTACTAGTAAAATCTTAGTAGGGCTCCTCTAGTCTTATTAGTGCCTTGCAAAAGGGCCTAGACGCTAGAAGCGGGGGATTAGGGCCTACTACTATATCTTCCAACTAAGCAACTAACGACTATATAGCATTAAATATTGCAGTAATACGGTCGCAAATGCGACTACTATATGTTATCTTATATACTACATCTTCTTATATATATTGAGTACCTGCAATAGTGTTGTTCGTGCCGCATCTACCTAGAAGCCGTATTTTTAGCACCTAGCTAGCTTTAGGCCGTTCCCTTCGAATCCGTATACCTCTACTATACATATATATACTATGCCTGCACTTACAAAACAAGACGAGAACCTAATACAATAGGCCTTAGATAATGGTATAGAAGCCTACCTTATCGTCAAAATGCTACTTAGCAACTATCGTAGCTCGCGGACTGCTATTTGGAACCGGATTACGAGGTGGAAGAAGACAGCGACTATATTTCTAGCAAAAGGTAGAAGGCCGCATATTATAACACCGGCTATACGTAACGATCTATTAGACTTCCTAACAATAAGAAGTATATACTAGCTCGAAGAGATGCAGATAATATTGCTAGAAAATCACTAAGAATAGGTCTCACAATCGACTATTAGTCGCTGTCTTAGTAGCAGTAACTTTACATACAAATTGCTGTCTCGTACGGCTTTATAAAGAGACCCTATTGCAAGGGCACTATTTAAGGCTAAGTTACAGTCATTTGCGGCCTTCTAGATTGTATACCTTAACGAGTCTTATGCTTTAGACAAGACAGCTCTTCGAAGGCGTGGATAGTTACTAAGAGGTATGCTAGCAAGGGATGTCTAGCATCTATACTATTCGTAGCGATATACGATCCTTCTAGCATACACGATTAATAGCTATCTTCCGGAGCTACTAATACAATAAGGTAGTGTCAACAGTAAAGACTTTATAGCATTCGTACGCTATCGAGTATTGCTACGTTATACGCTATATCTAGGTCCACGGTCAGTTATACTGCTAGATAACTATAGTACCTATTTAAGAGCTATTCTAAAGGAAATGTACTTAGCTAAGGGTGTATACCTGCTCTTCCTTCCACCATATTCGCCTAATTATAACGCTATTAAATTGAGCTTTAAGCACCTAAAGCACTGGATTAAGAAGTACTAGTAGACAATGCCTAAATATAGGTTACCTTACTAGCAGGCAGACTTCTAGGCATACCTAGAATTAGCATATAAGCGATAGGGTGACAATATTGATTATCTAGCGCAGTTCAAGCACTGCAAAGTGCTCGAGAAGCTATATAAATATAGTCCAATACTGCCGGCGGAGATATAGAATAGGAGGTAGTAATTACGATATACGTCAAATTCTAGCTCGATTTGTATACGGAGTGCCAAGACCTTTTATACTATAGTAAATCAATGCTGTATTCTCTTCTAAGGAACTTCTAACGGTTGCCGTTTATACTATTGCTACTAGAAGTCATTATATCGTCTCTTAAAGGCGCAGCAATTTCGAGGCTTGGCACGTCGGAGCAAATTTCAAAATGTCCGATATTTAGCTAAATACTACATATCATTATAACAACACTACATTATTGATATTATAATAGCCGGCAATTCATTAATAGGTGCGGCGCTATTATATAAAAAAACAACGATATAAATCGCATATGTAGTTATAGTGTAATCTATCGATAACTAAAATTAATATTATCGGCTAAGCTTAAAGGTAGTAAGGAAAGCGGAGGTAGGGCTTGGAATAGCAAATTTGATGTTAAACATTTAGCTATTAAAGATTCAATACCTATATAGCGCTAGAAGTTAACTATACTCTATCTAAATCAATCTATATAAAGCACGCGGTCTACCTATAGTATTACCTCTTACACCTCCAAGTTATAGAACCAAAATCGGATAGGTAGTTATAGTAATCTAGACAGCTAGGGTTAGCAAAGCTAGCTTATTGTTATATCGGCTTCGTACCTCTCAATTTCGGCTACTTTGACGCATTATAGCAAAGTCTATAACTCGCTTACGAAGCGCCTATCTAATGCCGAAGGCCGGCACTACTCTCGCTAACCTATTCTTATTCTCTTAGCGTCGCAGTTGTCTCAAATTCTAGGCGTTATCTATAATAGCTTTAGTGATAGCCTCCTGCCTATCCTGCTATATCGGATGCTATTAGAAGAACTAGACTAAGAAGAGAGGTGTCTCTGTATAGTTACCTAATATAGTGCTAATATCCGGCGGCACTAGCGAGCTACGGAGCTGTTACTGTAGTATAGATTGGACCTGCTGTTAAGGTTGCAGAGCGCTTATAATAGCAGGGTTAGCCATTATTAGCTAAAACAGTATCGGGTTAAACTGTTGCTACTATTGCTACTGTTACTGCTATTGTTATTGCTAAAGTAAGGCTATAAGCAAGATAGACTCGCTGCCGCTACTACTATTGCTAGTCGGTTACTATCGCTCGGCAGTAAGGGCGCCTATAAGACTATCGATTGTATACTGTTACTAAGAAGCCTTATTCTTCGCAGAAGCGGCGGTCTTAGCCTATACGTATTCTTCGTAAGAAGCGACAATCTTGTCGGCAATCTCTATAGGCATATAGTATAGAAGAGCGCTATTAATTCGGACTATATTAGCAAATTCCTTTACGTAAGAGCCTATTATACTATAATAGACTCTACGGCGCTTGTAACAGCCAATTCTACGACCTAACTTCTTGTTGTCGCACTAGTAATTATTGCATTTAAACTGCTTGAATACTATCGAGAATACCTCGTCGTCTTTACGGCATTCTTCCTTCGTCTTATTATTAGTGTTCTTTCGGCTATTCTTAACCTAAGAGGCTAGTTGTAGCGGCTCTAGTAGATCGCTATTAATCTTGACAAACTAATTACTATTTAGTAGAGTTAATAGTCGATTAGGCATAGCAACGCGCTTATAGCTCTTAAGGACCTTAATAATATAGTAAGTGTTAGTATTGGCGCAATAGCGTAGGAACTTGGCTACCTCTTTATAATAGTCGTCCTCGTAGATAATATTATAGAAAGTCTTCGAGCGCTTCGGTATAGATAGCCGTATATAGTAGATAGTAAATACACGGTCTAGCTGTTGTTGTAAGCCGAGCCCTTCTATAAAAACCTATAAGGCTACTCTATCCTTAACCTTCCGTATTAACTGCGCTATCTTATTGTTATTTAGCCTCGAGTAGGCAAAGTCTATATTATTATCTTCTAGTATATCATTTATAGTTATAATATTGTACTGTTTGCCGTATAATCGATACTAAACGATCTATATAAGATCTGCGCTAAAGGGCTTCTTGTTCGCTCGTAGCTTCGGCGTTAGTATAGCTTTAGGCGTACGTGAAGTCGGTCGGCGTCGCGAGCTAGCTTCTAATTGCGATTTCTTAACAACGCTATTAGATATCGACAATAGCTTAGTAGGAGGTTTATTAGATAGGTCGGCGCTATTATTCTACCGTTTAGATAATGTTTTGCGGGTCTTGTTTCGTAGTGTTTTGCCCTTAGTCGATTTCCGCTTACGCGAAGAAGCTAGCTTTGCGCCCGTAGCTAGTACCTTCGGCGCCTCCGTAGGCGACTAGTCCTTCTTAATACTCTGTCTTATATAATACTAACCCCCCTTAGCGGGCATACTAGTTCTACGAGACGCTGGTTTTAGTGCGATTACTAGCCTCGGCGGAACTGTCTTCCTACGAATAGAAGGCTCGGAAATAGTAGAGGGAGGTAGCATTTAGGAGGTCCTCTCTAGGTTAGAATATACTAGTTCTGCCGCTCCTTTCGACCGTATATGCATTATAGGCTCGTCGTTACTTGTCTCTTCGCCTAGCAATCTATTCTCTTTATCGTCGTCGTTGTTGCTATCCTTGTTATATAAAGAGTTAAGCTACTAGCTAAACCGCAAGCCGTCGTCCTATATAGATAGATTGTCGAATACTTCTTAGGCACGTAGAAGATATGCTTCTCGTTAGTATAGTTACTCGTTAAACGGAATAGTATTAGGCGGAAATAGTGTGTGTTGTTGCTATAGAAACTAGTGTTTAAAGTCGCGTTATATAAACGGGGGCGGGTTAGGAATTTAGGAAGAGTCTATAGGTAGACTGCTAGGTAAATCGTTATATTCTATAGTAATACTGTCTCTACTGTTAGACTGAGTCTCGGCAATGGTATTATAATGCATTCTACGCGAAAAACGCGTGTAGAAACGTAGTATAGTGGTGTTGTTATATAGAGTTCTATATAGGTTGGTAGTGCTCGAATCCCCGCCTCGGAGCGTCCAGGCCCTTTTGCAAGCTAGAATAGCATTCTCAACCCAAACGCAAAACACAGTATACAACTGATCACAGTAGCGCATCCTGTTTACTACATCCCCAAGCTTTAAACGGACTTTCACCACCACACTTCACGCTACACCATTACGGCACATCCGAACACCAAAGCAGAACAAGGCTTCCAAAATAGATAATAATCGATTCCTGGGCGAACAGCAGTAGTAAGTACTAGGAGCCAGCAATCACGCATTTGCTCGCCTTAATGCTGATCTACTTAGCCGTAAGAGGCTCTACAACCAGAAATCCGTCGAGCTACTCCTGCGAGAGCATCCCGTCCGCGTCATCATCGCTATTGTCGTCTACGAGGGCCTGTTCGGTCTACTCCTGCCGCACCGTCGTCCAGGCCGCACGCTCCTCCAAATCCCAAGTACTTTCGACTTCGCCGGCCTATGGCAGACCCTCCTTGCGCTTCTCATCACCTTCCTAGTGAGTTCGTACCGACTGTTCACCTGGCACCGCGACAACTTTCAAGCTTCGGACGTACTCTTCAGGCGCCGAGCTTCGCGTTTCGGCGACTCAGCGTAACTTGTATAGGTACCGAAAGTATAGCAAAACGTAAGCAGGCACAACTGATTGGGGACAGAGGTGTCTTTCGAGATACGCGATGAGCAGGTCCATCTTGAAGAGCATGGGTACTGAGCAATTCGGCACAGAGCCATCATATTGATGGAAAGTTTGAGCAATGAGTGCCAAATTGTGACTGGGATAGAACTATCTGAGAGCAGGAAACAATCTATCAAAGACCAATCCCCATAAGTTCCGAGACACCTTCAAATGACCGATCTGTCCGGCGTGATGATAGATCTAGAGCAGCCGTGCCGAGAGTCGCTAGCCAAGAGTAGGATCTCGAGCAAGCGCAATGCCTGCTGACCACATACCAAACTGCGTCGAGGCGGGGAGGAATGTGAACTCTACCCTGACGTACCGACGATCGGAAGATGGAAGCGTGAGATGCTGCCGAGGAAGCGCGCCCGTATTCTGGGTGCCCATGCACAACCTCAAGGTCTCGACGTCAGTGAGGATGAGATGTTCCGGCAGAACAATGATGAAGAGAGGACCATAATCTGCAGTACCTTCAAGAAAGGCCAACGACATCCATGCTTCCCAGTGAATCTTGCGGATAGAGAGTGTCACAGAGTAAGCCGGACTATTGTACTTCTCCGACTCCTCCTCAGAGACCGAGGAAGCCAGCGCAACGACGAATGGCATTACCAGCTTATCAGGTCTGTGTAAGTTTCAGCAGAGTCCGTAGGGGCAATGATAACCTAGAGAAGGAGACTCACTTATGCCAAAAATATGGGAAGGCCACATTGCTAAGCTTTGATCGCTCGAATGGTGTTTGAGCACGATACTCGGCCTGCTCGTCTGCTTGCCAGAGCTCGTCAGCATACCATTGCTCGTTGTCTTGGCTGTAGCTGATATCGCATTTCGTCTTGCCTGTTTACGGGTCAGCATTGCATCTCATCGACAGATGGCGAATTTGCACTTACCTACAGCATTCGGCGTGTCGCTCAAGAGATCCATAAGATTGAAGCATAGCACGAATGCGAGCGGCAAGTGGGATGCCGTCTTCTTACTGGACAGTACGAGCTCCCCCGCTTCTTCCCAGTCATGGAGGACGTCTGTGATGTTGCCAAACCGGGCGTCTGCTCGTAGACCAGGGAATACCGGATACAATATATCCGAGGAGCGCAAGCTTGCATCCAGCAGTATAAAGAACGCTGCTTGATCCTGAGTCAGTAGACGCTGGCGTGTAGATTGAGAGGGATTCGTAACGTTCGGTCGTTTCTTTCTTCTTTCTGGTTGAGATTTATGTTTGAGGTCGATCCAGTGAGCTTTCAAGCTCTCCACGGAGAGGCCGGTGTCCTCAGATATGTACGCCCACTTGGTATTGGTGCTGTTCTTCAGCTGCAGCACCCGACGTTCTTGCTGTGGCGTGAGTGGAGCATACATCCTCCTTTTGTTTGCGAGCCGCACTGCTTCCCTGTTTTGCTTGACCTTGATCCGATTGTAGACGCAATTCAGTACCTTTATTTTCACGTGAGGAAAGTGCAGCTTCTTCACGTCCGACCTGGACAGACCCTCTACCTCGATCAAGTGACATAGCTTCTGCTTGTCTGCCACACTCCACTTTTCATGACTAACTGAGAATTGTCTCGCGTTGAGGAGTGTTCCCTTAGGAATCGAAGTGCGAGGTCCTCCTGGAGCCCGAAAGACCGGTTCCATGTTCGTAGACTTGTTTTTGTAGTATTCCCTGTCGGGGCTTTCGCTTTTCCTATAACCTGGTTTGCCTTGAGATGCCTTCTTTTGTTTCCGAGGCGCGGCGAGAGAAGTAGGCGACGAAGAATCATGCTCATTGACTTCCGTCTCTTGTGGCCACCATATGACACCAGGAGTCGCAGCGATACCGGTATCGAGGAGGCCAGCATATCGAGAAGTTACTACTGACGCCGGCGAAGTCATAGCTCTGTTCATGGCAGCCACATCATCCACACCAACTTGTATCCAGCTCCAGGTGCCGGCAAAGCCCTCCGGCGGGGCCTGGGGGTTGACCAAAGCACCAGACCATTGTGCAAGCCTGATGCGTTCCCAACGATCTTGGACCATTTCGGGCGACAGTGGCGTTTCGTTTTCCAAGTCCTGCGGAGGGGTCTGCGCGGCATTGGAATCTTGGCACGCCCTCATGCAGGCGTGCACGAAATCGAGCGCTTCTCTCCGGAGCACCAAGCCCATCTCACTGCTATCAGCTATACTGCGATTGAAGTGTTCTTGACCAGCAGGCACTCGAGCACAGTTGAAAGCATAAAAGGCGCAATCGGAGCTGTTGTTTTGCTGAGGGCACGGGAGATACTTGATAGCATTCGGCTCTGGCCAGACGACTGTGCTCAGCCCGAGTTCCTCGCGCATTGAGATAAGCTTGGCATACAGTACAAGCTCTTCTCTGATCATGGCGAGGCAGCCAAGGTCCTCCTTTGAATCATGAACGGAGATCTGGCCAGTGTTGCTGTCGAAGTCAACAGTGAACAGTACGTGCAACCAATGCCGATTTGCGACATTGTAGATCAGAGACCAAGATGTCGTGCCAGGAAGCATCTGTGAGCCTGGAAATGCATCCATGGTGCCCTCCTGAGCAGCTGCTAAAAATTGCTGAAGACCTGCGATAGTGCGGTCGTTGCCGATGTCGTGGCCGTGGCCCGCGTCGTCGGAACGTCGAACGAAGTAATGAGTCTCAGCAGGATCTGCGATGAAGTGATTGTAGTTGGGATTCTGCTTACGAGCCAGGTCCACCCCCAGTGATCTCAGATCTTGGGCTACTCGTAGAGGATTGAATGGTTCTGGCTCGCGCTGAAATCTGATTTCGAACAAGCCTTGTATCTCGAACAAGACTTGTGCGAATGTTCTTTGATAGGCTTCAGCTCGCAGCCAACTTTGGAGCTGACGCTGATCCTTGCGAAAAATCTCCCAGGCGCTAGCATGCGGAGTCGGTGGTGTTGAGCTCATATTAGAACGATGCGTTGTATGCTCAGCAGCTGCTTCGGAGATAGCAAGACCAATACTGCTTCTGAGAGAGCGAGATCGAAGAAGAGTATGAGTCTGACCTGCGACATGTTTGCGACTAGCCTCAGGCTTGTGAGTCTCGAAGCAGAAGTCAAAATCCAGACAAAGAACCAGTGATCGAGTGCTGCCTAGCCTGCATTGATATGCTGCTGAAATCAGAGACACGACAGCAATTATAGGACCAGTAGAAGCTTTACTGGCAGTGGCGCATCGAAGACGTTGACTTGTCACAGACTCTCCATTTCGCAAAGCGGTAACATGGCCGAAAGTGAGATATTCAATTTTGTGCAAGGCTACCGATTGGACCAAAGCGAGAGCCCAGACGTTCTATGCTCAGGAGTAAGGCGAGGAAGTCAATGACTTTATTTGTACTAATTGCTGCAGGTTTGGAGGGTGGAGGCGCTGACACTGTTTTCGTGTGTGCACTCAACGATGACGTCGATTTCCCTGATGAGAACATGTCCGATTTTGATTTTTGGGCCTGGGTCCGGGAGCACAACAATCGACTGCTTGTCTTGCCTGTCGATGCCAAATTCTGCGGCCGCAATAACGTGAGATACTCGGGGAACCTCAGCCTGCACGATCAAGGATTTATCTACACCTGGTCTCATTGTACCAAGCGTGACAATGACCACTACAACATTGTCGCAGCGTTGGTCGAAGGCGTACCAAACCATCTGGCAATCGTGCCTAGAGCCATCTGGGGTGCGGGCAACGAATCTTATGGAATGCTCGCATCGGAGTCGGGCCCACTCTGGCTGGCTTTATTCATGGTCCATTTCGACGACATGGAGCAGGCCATTCAGAATCTGGCTGCTGCTACGCTCTCTGAACCAAGAGCACCGGTATGGTACGTCAATCCTACTAACGGACTCTGTTTCGAAGGATGGAGACCAGAAAAGACTAGTCACCCTCCCATCTGGCCAGTATCTGGCTCGGCCTCCAGACGAGACGCTACCCGACTCATCCGGTTCTTCGATGATTTGAAAGCGGCGGATCCGAGTATCAAGGTGTTCTTCAATCGCGATCAGCCCTGGATACACGATTTTCATATCGGACTTCCTGGTCTCGGAATGGTGCGTATCGAACACAAATACCGGAACAAGCCGTGGAAGCAGATGGTGGTAAATTGGGCCGCCAAACGTCACACAAGGCAAGCTCCCTTCGTGCTTCGACGTCTCTATCACTTCTTTATTGGCCAGACGCGAGACGGAGGTATAACATGCATCGGTCGCCACGAAATGCACAGGGTCTTCTCCAATACCGACCGGACAGCAATCGATCTTGAGTTTGTGACGTCTCGCACCAAGACCTCTCTCCCGGAGATTTTGGAGTACATGAAACAAAACTTCTTTGCTGCGAAAACAGCTATCATTGACGCCCTTGACGATATTCGCCCAGAAGACATTACTCGCGGACTCCTCGAAGGCTGTTGGAAGCAAAAGATGGAGCAAGTATTGAATCGAGAACTTGCCGATATTAACGACACTGGGCGACAATTTGGTATGCCGTGGGTCGCTAGGGGCATTCAGTATTGGTGCTGGAGGTTGGAGAGAAGCGCCCTTTTCCCAGTGGCCACGCTCGGCTCGCCGTTTACTCACCTTTATATTGACCACAAATGGCTTCCAGACGAACTATCGTACTACCAAAAGTATGGACGCTTGCCATTCTACGTGTGGTGCAAAGCCATTATGGAGAATCGTGCCGTCGCTCTGAAGCTAGAGGATCGGCGCCTTGGACCGCACGCTTCCTTACAGCTAGACGCTCTGTTGGGTCAGACTTGCAGCGGGTGGAACAAGCCACCGGGAGAGGACTTCAAATGTTTCAACGTTTTCGGAATGTTGAAGAGCTCGATAGTGCGACAGAACCAGGAGCGTTCGGCTTGGTACGCCTGTTTCCCTGATGACATAACTGCCCGGTTTCAGTCCAGCGATGAGAGCGATCGATTGTCGAAGATAGAGCCGGCTATGAACAGCACCGGCGAAAAGTTTCTCAGAGCTCGCAATGCCTACAGCGATACGCTACAGGATCCGCCATACCGCAGCGGCAAGACAGCAGTACCTCTGAAGGCACCGTTCATTCTAGAAGGCATCGAGCCTATGAGATATCTTATGAATGTTGCCGATGGCTCCATCAATCGCCAGCTGAATCGAGTCCTTGACGATGACTTGATGAATAAGAGTTTCGAATGGCAGAGCACTCAAGGCGTATCGCAAGCATATAGCCCAAAGATCCACATTGGCCAATACATTAGGACTGTGAGAGCGTGGATGCAGTCTCTATGGACGTATAGTAGTAAGTACGCCTGGCAATGCTCGCTTTTCACGATGCTAACAATTCTGTCATAGTGGCGTACGGCGTGACCGTTCATCGGGGGGGGGAGACGTCAGCACTGCCCAAGCTTCGTCCCAACAGTATGATGTCGATTAATCGGGTGCTCTTCGTGGATACTCCTTTAGAAGCATGTTTCAGGGTGAACATGATGGGAGTGCGGCCCGCAGAAGTTCTTTGTGTAGTAAGACCCGAAGAATGAATTGCTTAGAAGAGGCAGGTAATGACTCTGATGCCTAGCAAAGTACATTGCTGTAAATTGGTTGAAATCTGCTGCGCTTTTTGCTGTGCACTTGTGAAGCTTACGTCCGTTCCTATGGAGTCCTCAATGCCGAAGAAGCCAGGCCGGTGGGCGACGTACTATTATTGCCGCTTCGAGCAATTTTTGGAAGAAGTTCGACGTCTCGACATGGCAGACCAACCCCTGAGTGAAGCCTATGAAAAGCTCGCTGCTGCTTCTGCTGAGATGGACGGTAAATCGGATGCGTACTCAGGCTCATGGCTGCCGCTCTCACCACTCTAGGAAAGGCGGGATATCGGCGCCAGCGAGAGTTCCGGCGAGTGGATGCAAGAGTTGAGGCATGAAACAGCGCAGGTCGATGGCCTTATCATCCTGAGTGTGATAGGACACGACATCGACCAAGTAAAGAGCGTTAGAGCAATGGAGTTTAGTCCGGAGAATGTAGATATGATAGACAGGCTTGAAGCTGCATTGCGGCAGGTCCACGGTAAGAGCTGCTTTCGAAAGTCGCCATCAGCGCTAACTCGGCCAACCATAGACACCTTGAAAGGCATTCTGCAGGGGGATATCGAACGACGATATGGAACCTCAATCTCGACCTCCAGCTCCAGCTCCAGCCTCACGCCTACGCCAACTGGTCCGAAGCGCAGCGCCGAGCAAGCCAACATGGATCAGATAGCTTTTCCCGTTAGGAAGAGACAGCGCACTTCCGGCGCAGTGCAATCCAAGAATCCGGAGGAGGTGAATGTCGAGAATGAGATCTCAAGTGCAAGTACAGCTCAAGATCGCGAAGAGCTTATGCTAGATGCAGATGATGAGCATGGTGACTCGGTGGCAGATGATGAGGAGGATGACTTGGAGGCAGATGATGAGTAGTTCTAGGGAACATCATGCATAATGGCCTCGCTAGAACAGATCCTTCGCAGTGGTGATCTTGTCCTCGGACGCTTTTGATCACAATGCTCTTTCCCTTTCTCCTTGACGACTTCTGTTTGAGGAACTATAGCGGCAGTTCAAGAATCGAGACTTTTGACATCCTCCATCGTACCATTCTTTGACACGTCTATCTCTGGCCAAGGATGTTGGCATGCGAAAAACTTCGGATCCGCTCTATTGCAGGGCAATTGTTCATCGTGGTAGGCTGATTTTTGATATGAAAGAATGTTGCCCTCTCGAAGACGACGTGTCCGCCGTTGAGGTAGTCGTGCTGCGGCGGCGAGTTCCGCGGTCGCTGTTCATCTTCGGGAGTCTTGGCAGGGTATCGAATTCGCGCTTGGCAGTAATGTTGACCAGAGTATTCTTGCGATGACTGTATACGCGTGCCGGAAGGAATGATGTGGGATGGATGGAAGAACGTGGTGGCACTTTGCACAACCTGACCTTATAGAGAGTGAGAGTAGCTGCTTGTAGGAGGCAAAATAGCTCCCAAACCTACCCCCGACCCTCACCGCTTTGGTATCCGCATCTTGCTGGCGTTGTCGCCTAGGGCAGGGAGAGGAGGTTGTTGGGACTGCCTATTGTCCAGGAGGGTTCTGCCTAGTGCCATCCAAAATCAGTCCGCCTAGTTTTCTATAGCGCGTTTCTTCGGAAGCGTGTGAGGTCGAAGTCCAGTAGGCATGTTCACTTAGTTGATTCGTGACTTGTCTTAAACGGTCATAAGCTTGAGGTTCATATCGTATCCGCAAGAGTGACTCCGGGTGTTGCCCGTCTACAGTTTTGCTTCGGCATTGTTCTGTATATGTGTTTTTTTTTTGACCAAATAGCAGCTCCTGCTTTGGCTCTTTCTTTGTCAGCATCTATGTCCTTGTCCAGCGAATCTTGACGTGGCCTATGTCCCTCTCTTCCTGGTGTTGCGTTGCTGTTCTGGCCTTGGTCTTCGTTGTCCTTCTGTACAGTCGGCGCATATTGTCGGTATCGGTTCAGTGGTGGAAGGCGCGTAGAAGGGGCATAGACAGGGGCGGCGTATGTCCAGCAGGTTTAGCGTATGTCCGGTTACGGGTTTGGCGCGTGTAGTGTGCGGTTTGACGCGTGGGTTTCCGCGATTCATTTGGTCGTACAGGGCGGGCGCGACTTTGGCAAGCAATGGGCCAAGATATGTGAGGAAAGGCATCCAGTCCTTCCTGAGGAGTGCTGGGCTTGCTCCGTAAACCTGGTGAGTCGTGAGACCGAGTGCCACTCCCTTGCCAAGCAGCTCCACCAGGTTGCTGGCCCAGATTGGCCACCAGCCTTGGTCTCGTGGACCCAAGCCGTTCATATCGATGAGCAGGGCTGGGCCATGAGTAACGATGTCGTCAACAGCATCACTGGCCGGGGATGCTGTCGCAGACAGGTCGGGAGTCGTGCCCCTCAAATAGGCGCTCTCTTGAGGAGACTGTAGTAGTGGCCGAGCGGGCAAGGATGTTGGTGGTGGCAGGGCAAGAGGAGGCAGACTACGCAGTGATGCCATGAAGCTCGATGCGCGGCCTAAGGTACCTGAAGCCGCGACCGAAGTGTCCGCCTCCAAAGCTTTGTCCTCACTGCTATCTTCAAGGTTCATCATCTCTTGTCCTGGTAAACGAGCCACCTCAGATTGCCATCCTCCACGCACGACAGCTCTCTCATCCATACCACCGCGAGAGAGCTGACCGTAAGCACTGCTGGGTTAGGCGCTGCGCAGATCCGTGACGGAGAGCTCCTCCGCCGTGACGACTAATGGCACAGGCATGTGGCTGCCAGTGCGGCTCGCCTCCAAGGCGGTCTGGTAGCGGCGAAGGAACATCAGCAGGTCGGTGTTGGTAGGGAACTGCCGATTTGTGTTGAGGTGACGTAGCTCATTTAAGCAGCATATGCGGCGCAGACAGAGCTATGAGGTTTGTGAGCGGTCTATTGCGCGACATCAGAGCCCACTGCCAGGCCTGTGTTGTCCTTATCCCAATCCTTATGGCACTTTGGCTTCACATCATCGCCAAACCGACGGACGATCTGCCTTACTCGCCTCCCTGCCATCTTGGGGCCGGAGGATGCGATGTCTTCCTAAAGCTCCAAGCCGATGTCTCGAAAGAACTTCCTGGACAGCTCAACATTGGCAACATAGCTCTATACCGAGAAAGCCAACTCTTCGTCGAAGAATACAACGGGCTCGCGACACACCAACACCAGCTTCGTGGAGACTTCGACCAGCTCGCCGGCATCGAGATCAGGGACTGGATGACATATATTGTTAGCACCAGCAACCGGTCTATAAACATTGAGCGTTACCAAAAGAGCGTTGATACAAAGGTCAAAAACTTGATGGAGTCGAGCAAGGTTTGCGAAGCTTACAAGCTCATCTCATCACTCTTGGCGCTCGAGGGCGCGTACACGAACTCCGAAGCCAGATGGCACGTGCGAAGGAAGCCATGCAGAAAGAAGCTACTCTTCGCTCTTATAAGCTGTTCGCTGCATACGACAAGGTACGCTGGCCTAGCGCACTATCAGATGACCAACTCGAGATATATGTCGGCAACATCGACCTGCAGCTGGAAGCCCTAACTGAGCTGGAGATCGCAGATGACCGAACTGGATCTTGCTTAACAGAAGACATCTCGAGTCTTTAGCGTAACTGGAGCTACCTGAAGGCCTCCAGGGCCGCAGGCACGCCGGCCGATTACTAGTCTACAGCGACAGAAGGGGAAGATGCAAGGACAATGGCCCGTTTTCGACGACAAGAAGCGAAAGCATAGCTGAAGGAAGAGCTTGTAGAACACATCTGTCGGACAAGTGGCCTAGTGCAGTAGCGTTGCAGGAAAGGGCGTGGAGCAGTAGTCGACTATCTAAGCTCGCTCGTGAAGAAAGAGTCTCAGAGTTTGCTTTCGCGAGTCGCAGCAATTTGCAGAAGACAGCCTCGAAGAAGACACAGGCTCGAGTTTTGACAAGCCCTATACCTTATGCTAGCATGTAGCGACATTAGCACAATGTTTCTACACCAATAGCGCCTTATGAGAAGTAACTCAGACACGAACAACTCCCCGTGAGACATCTCCTCAGTACGGCGTACGGTTTTAGTCACAGCACGTTGATGAAGGAATCTGAGTTCAGGTCTCTGACATTCAAACCTATCTATAACTTTGAAGTGGCTGTCGAAGAAAGTGAACACAAGTGGTTGATCAGGCCACACATGCTTCACATTCTTCGTGCAAGACTGCGCCAATGTGGCGGTCAACGAATCGGCAACTCACTATGCAGATTTGGTGCTCCGGATTACCATCTCACGCATACTGAGTCGCCAACTCGCATTCCTACACACTGCGCAGGTTGCGCTAGCCTTTATGTTCTCATCTGGCCAATACACGTCATCACACTCACTGCCACTTTTGCATCTTTGTATGCCAAGCCAACTACAAACTCCCTTGTCCTCCGCGAACACCTCTATGCTATGCACGAGACTGTCTTCGTGTATCTTCCTGATCCGCCGATATACGTATACGCATGTTGTAGTCAGCTCGCACAAGGAGGATAACGGTCGCATGTGATTGATGTTTGTTGTCGAGTTCGAGCTTCGACGGTGTTTGGTTGAAATTGCAGAGATCTTAACAAGCAGCGGGGCCCATAGGTCACGATAATAGTCTTTGTGTGTTGCGTCGATTGTTTTGGCGTCTTGATTTAGTGGGTAGAAGTTTTGGGATAGTAGCAAAGATTTATGATGTTGTTCAGTTGGCAGCAACAGCGGTGCAGGTGCAGTCATTTCCAGGTGGTTTCCAGCTTGTCAATTGACTTCGACAATATTTTGATTGTGCTTCGACATTCGTGGTAGAGAGAGGTGGTGTTAAGCATCGACATTGTTGCTGCGCTCACAGCCAGAGCATTAAAGGCATCAACACACGAAGCACTAGTGCATGAAGTGCCCGGGTACACTCCTCACACTAGCCCTTTGCTGTTTGAACCAAGAAGAATGGCATAGATACATTTTTTTGAGCAAGGCGACTTTCGAGTTCGCAGGTGTGATTGATGTTGTCCAATATCAAGGGAAGGCACTTATAGAAATCAGACCAGCTCGACGCGCTTCCCACAGGCCTGTAGCACGTTGGTATATGCTACAGAACAATAGGTCCGGCAAAGTGAGTCGATGGCGGTGATACTAGTGTGTTACTACTACATGTCTGCTGTCTTACTTATAATGTCTGTCCTCGAAGATCTGATCGGATTTAGAAATGTCTTAACCGAGTCAGCTACGGCGACAGCTAGTATGTCGAGAAATGCTATAAGTGTAGTTAAGGCATGCCCTTCAACTCGATGTACCGAGAAAGCATACACTATAGAAGCTCCGATTACTACCGTAACGATTTTCTCCTTAAACGACGCCTTTGCGTTGCTTATTCTACTAACAGGTGAAGCCGATAAAGCATTACGAGCAAAAGCTAATAGATTCCTTATCTAGACTAGCGACTCCTACGAGATTCGGAAGCCTAAGGGGTGCCGTCCCCGGAAAGCTATTCTAGCAAAGTTAACCTAGTTAACATTATTAGGCAAACGTTGCGCTACATTTAGGACATTACGATTAAACGCAGTGCATCTTCCTAAAGACAACTTAATTAACCCTTAATACTTCTATCTTAAGATAATCGATAACTTAGTCTACCTAACTAACTTGTAACTTGTCGAGCTATAGTATATAGATCTAGGATTACTCTACCTCCGATCGGCGTTATAAAAAGCTCCTTCGATAGATAGTAAGAATTACTTAGGACACTCGGATTCGGCTCGGCGCCTCTTAGCAGCTAGCTTTTATTATACGACCTGCCGTTCTCCTTAAATAGTAAATTTCGGCTATCTCTCGAAGAAGCCTATATCGTAGACTACTCGTCGAAGAACAGCCTCGATAGTTAGGAAAACGGCTACCTTCGACGTCTTAGGATCCTATAAGCTCGTCGTTATCTTCTTTAAAGTACTAGACTTCGTCTTCTTTACTACTCTAGGTCTCCTCTTAGTCCTTGTATTAATCGCTAATAATAGTTAGTATAGAATTCGTAATCGATTCTTCGCAGCCTAGACTTGCGCTAAGCGGTATTCTAGGCATAGGTATCGGACCCCGAGGCATTACTATACGTAGCTAAGTAGTATTTAGAGCAGATCTAAGATTACCTACTAGAAACTAGGTTCGACTTATAATACTGTTATACACCTCTGCGATATCGAGGCGTTAGTAAGCTTAGAAGGCTATAAACTTAGTATAGGTTCCTAGCGTTAGATTAGCTTAGTCGAAGAGGTAAGGAAATAACCCTATCCTTAGCTCTAGGTCTGTTCCGAGGAGCTTATTCTACTTAGACGAGGTCCGAAGAGATACAATGTACTAGAGCTCCGGGGTTAATAGTAGATAGAAGTAGTCGGAAGTCTATATTAAGACTAGCGTAGGACTTTAGGTAGCAAAAAGCCTAAAACGAGGCCTAGCGCTATATTGTATTGTATACAAGGGGGTGTATGCTAGAGGAGGGTTTAGTAAGGCATTACATTTCAAGTAGCGGCTACGTTAGGACTTAGCAAAGAACGAGCGCTAAGTAGTATTATTCTATACGAAGTCTATTTTAAGGAGCGTAGGGTATTTAGCACTGTTCTTGTCGTAGCTATAGATGTAATATACAACGATTACTCGCCTACCTAGGTGTTAGTAGCGTCCGCCTAGCTAGTAGCAAAGGTTCTTTCCTTAGTGTTCTCTAAGTCGCTCGAGACGGCAGATAATAGAAGAATCTACGCCGGTTATAACAGGCGATTTCGTTTAAAGCTATAGCTATTATCTCGTTTCGCGGCAACTTACGAAGCGACGAGTTACGGTTGCGATCGCATACCTAATTAGGCTAGTTTATAGCCGCCTTCTAGAAATAGTCTAGCGAGCGTTCGAGCTAACGAAGGAGCACTACTAGTTTAGCTCCGTTTCGTACTTTCTTCCGGCTCCTATCCTTCTCTTTATAGTCGTTACGCTTTCGCGGTAGCATTATAGTAGTTAGAAGTGTTGTTTCTTCTAAAAGCAGGAGCAGCGGGGGGTTATTATTGTTCGGGTCTTAGCGTTTATATATGCTTAAATTAGACTACCCTAACTTTCGGTCTTAGTCTTCTTCCTAAAACATAAACATAGACCTAAATGCTATTCTTCGCTAGATTAGAGAGGTCGACAAACACCCTCGCTATTATAATTAGGCAGCTAAGGCTTTATTTATCTACGAATGCTTTTAGCGTACGCTCGCGGACGAGGATCTTATCCGCAAGCAAGTTATTCCGGAGCTTCGTTAAGACGTTAACACACCTAAAGCCTCCGCTTATCGAACCGAAGTCCTCGAATCTACTAAGCAATACCGAGTCAGATCTGTAATGTCTAAGCTTACATCCTAAGAATTATTTAATACGCGAGTATATAACGAAGAGAAGGCGATATTTCGCGAAGTAGAGACATACCGTGCTCGGCTCTATCTACGCTATAGTAAGAGACTTTCGGCAGATTAGGAGCGAGAAGTAGATACGTAGCTCGCTCTATATCCTACGTTCCTACGCGTAGAAAACTATAATAGCGTTAGCGGCGGAGCTAAAGCAGCTCTATAAGGTACTATAGCCGCAATACTTTTATGCTAAAGTTTACTACTAGTGAATCTTTAGCTACTAGAAACAACTTCCCGCCTATTACGCTATTTACCCCCCGGGACAGGCGCTAGCTTGTACTAAGCTTTACTTGCTATTCCGGATAATGTTTAGAAACCCCTTTGTTTGTATTGCTTTCCGCGTATCTTTGTGCCTTTAAGATAGTAGCCTAGACGCAGCTTCGATATATAGCTTATCTGCGCCCGAGATTATTATATCTAAGTCGAACT